CTAAAGCCAGGAAGGGTGAGGGACATGCCTTTAGACAGAATTTGAATTCAGATCTCTTGACTTTCCAGAGCATCAATTTTTATGTTCCAAGTTAGTGCATGGCTACAAGGACACAGCACCCCCAAGAGTGGACAGGGCAGAGGCTTCATCTGTTGGAAACCCTGCACAGAGACTCTCTGGGGAGCAAGAAAGCCAAGGCCCAGCTCACAGCAGGGACCCTGATCCTAGATGATTGTGATGCCAGATGACAGGTTGTTGGTCACTTTTCTTCATCAGGAACTAAGCATCTTCATGTGGACAATGTGAGCTGCAGAGTAGGTCAACTCTGAGGGACCCCTGCCTTTCTTGTCATCATACATAAGTGCCAGGTGAATGGGTGAGGCAGGACACCCTGTGTAAGGCAGAGTAGGCTGCAGCTTGGGCTGCTCCCATACCCAAAGGTCACAGCGGATGGGGCTCTAACCGGCAGGATCCAAGACTAATCTCCCAAGTGGCATCAACTGTCGAGACATATGACTAAACTAGTCAGGGTCACACTAGGTGAACTGGGTTGGCACGAAATAATGACTCACACGCACAGAGAAATACCTTTTTTTGGAGGGGTTCTGTGATGGCCCTTCTGACCCAGCTCCCACAAAGGAGGCAAGGCAGATAAGAAAGATAGGGAGCATGCCTCGAACCCGGGTTTTATTAACAGAGGAGCTAATCCAGGGGACATTCTATCCAAAAAGGGCAAAAGGGTAGGATTACAACAAACAAGTGGGTGTAATTCAACCCCATGGGGTGACGCCCACTCCCAGAGCTGCACCTTTCTGTTCCCAGTGGAGGTAGAGTCCACTTGCGTTGCAGCATGCAATAGCAGTCCTGGACCTCTTTACTCAGGACTTAAAGGTGTGTGCATAGCCCTTGTTCAGGGCGCCTCCGACAATCAATCCAGATGCTGTGTAACTCTCCAGAGCAAAGATGCCTCTGAGAGATGTGACTCTCGAAGGTGCAGCCTAAGAATGGCCTCACACTCAGTGCTGGTCTTTCAATAAGCAAAACAGCCTGCGTGGATATTTGTTATGATTCAGACACTTTGTGGAAAGTTGATCTAAACAACCCAAAAGATTCTTTCCCATCCTGGGATTCACACTGAACCAGGGACTTGGTGTTCAAAGAAAACCAACAGCTCCTGCAGGGAAAGGATGAGCAGTGAAGTGCTCCGAGGGAAGGACATGGGGACCAGAGTGTAGGACCCGCTCTCTGCACCTCAGTTAAGAAACCACATGCCAATCAGGCTGCTTTCCCTGCTCTGTTCTAAAGCCAATCTCACCTCTCCTCTCTGAGGGAGACCACTGGAGGCTGAGGTCTGTGGTTGGGACTGGCTAAGGCAGATGAAGATCAACAGAACTTTCAGTCCCCGTTGGCTCCCCATCTTCTATGAACTCTGCCCCTGCCATCTGCCTTTGGGCCACATTAACTCCTCTCCAGCAACTGCTGGGACAACCCAGAAAATGAGGATTTTCCCTTCCTAGAGTGTTTAGCATCAAGGAAACAACAAAAATACAACCAGACTGTTTTCCATGGCAGGTGTCATGAGCTCCCAGCTGATAGCAGTGGCAGAAAGGAGTCCCTTGGGATACTTTCATAATTTTACCTGAACCAGAGAGTTCCTTTCTCTGCTAAGAATCTTCCAGAGAGCCAGACATGGAAGGCAGGAACACTCGGTCCACGGAGCTTGAGGGAAATGGTCAGCAGACCAAAGCTCTTCACAATCCTTTCCCATCAAAACAAAGAAAGTCCAGGGTTGGGCAGACTCCAGGCTCTGCCACTCACCAGATGACTATGGACAAGGTGTTGAGCTTCTTGGTGACTCTTTTTCTATAAGATGGAAATGAGAATGCCTACCACACAGGATAGAGCAGCTGTGACAATGAAATAACAGGAGGTATATAAAACAATGGGCAGATAACAAAGGGCTAGTATCATTACTTAAGCAGGAGAAAAGGAAGCCAGGTATGGCCCAAATCTATGTCTCCCTCCTCTCGGGGCGCAGCTCTGTTGATCAAAACCTCCCGGCCCTGGTTTCCCATCAAGTTACTTGGAACCACTTGACAGGATCTTCTACAATGGTGTGCTGCTCTCAGTCTCCTTGTCACCCTAAACTCCCATGAATTTGTCCTGTGCATTGATGAATTCACAACACATGGAGTACCTGGTAATAAGAAGGAATGAATGGAGGGAAGGATGGATGAATGAATGGTTGATTTCCCTCAAGGTATGGCTCAAGAAACACAGGTGGGAGAGATTAAGTCTTGCTCCACACACAGCTGGTGGACTGGTTCCAGCAGCATCCACCACCCATCTGTAGTCTGCTCCAAAGGTTTCCAGTGCATGGAACATGCTTCTTTCTCAGCCAGTCTCCCCTGGCTCTCAGAACAGCCTGGGGGTGGGGAACAAGGCTACTGAGCCTCTTCTGTGGCAGCCTGTTATCCCTAACCACACAAACTTCAAATTTTGCAGATAAGGAAATTCAGCCTGAAAGAAGCTAAGTGGCCTGCTTCTACAGAGTACAGAAAGAGATGCCAACCCACCCCTATTTCCTCAGTACCAAAGTGAGCTCAGGGTAGGGTATCTAGTAATCAACAAGCATTTGTCACCCACTATGCCAAGATTGTGCCAGGACCCCCCAATTTTCTCCTTTCTACAGCTGAGGAAATTGAAGCCAAGAACAAGACGAGGGTCTTGCTGTTTAGAGAACAAAGCCAGATTTGGAACCAGGATTCACTGACCCCAGCTCAGAGCTTTGAGGATGTTTGCTCAAATAATAGTGGGGTTGATTTGTATGACACTCAAAACCTCAATAGTAGCAGAAAGCAAGTGGAGAAAGACAACAGGACCCAGCATTGGCCTTAGCAGCAAGACCCCCTGCAGGTGTGTGTGTGTGTGTGTGTGTGTGTGTGAGAGAGAGAGAGAGAGAGAGAGAGAGAGAGAGAGAGAGAGAGAGACAAAGACAAAGAATGGATTCTGCCAAAGAGTCTATGTGGGTTCCTGCACTGCTTACATTCTACTTGCACTAAGAAAGGGACACCCATAAATACCTGTTGCCTACTCTCCAAGCTCAGTCCCAAGGGCATGGTGGACCTGGTGATCCCCACACCCACACCCGTATCCTTAGATATTTGCATTTCAGCAGCAGGAAAACCTTCAAGTCCATTATGCTGATCTTGGCCGGAGGTCCTCCCTTCCCTGGGACCCTTTCACGCTAATATCAGGCATTTCTCTTCCTCCCATCAGATCAGCCTTGGGGTCTGCAACTATTGACTCTCCAAGTCCCCAAACGTCACTGAGTGCTGAGTAGTTCAGAGGCCCAGGTTGAGCGGGTGGTACTGCGTCTCTGGCATGGTCTGAATGGCAGTGCCTGAAGAATTCCCTATAGATGCAAAGGAACTCTGGAGTCTGGACAGCAGTTGGCCCAGGAGATCCCCTGGCTGGGCCTCTTCCATGGGGCAGAGTGGGCAGCAGCCAGGCAAGCGTGGGATCCACGCTGCTTTTGCTGAGAAAGAGTCTTGATTACCCAGAGTGATTATGACGCACCACCCTGATCTAATTTCAAGTTCAGTAGCAATAACAATTTTTTATTTTATTTATTTATTTTTATGTGGCGCTGAGGATCGAACCCAGTGCCTTGCACGTGCTAGGCCAGCGCTCTACCACTGTAGCAATAGTAATTTTAAAGGAAAAGGACCTTTTTTGGGGGGATCTGTTCCGCCCAGGCCCTCTAGTCCACAATTCATCCAGCTGGACATCCCTGAACTGAGTATACACCGCCGGTGATCTCCCTTCTCTGCGCCTCCCCTCTTCAGGATCCAAGTGTCCTGCCACTCACACGAGTGAGCACTGGGTTTGGCCGACACTAGGCACCCTCTCCACCCACCCCGGCTGCATGCCATAGCAGCAGCAGCAGGGAAATGAAGGTTCGGAGCACCACCCCAGTCCTCTGCACTGCCTGCCCTCCCGGCTTCTGGCCGCGAGAGAACATACCCTTATAGAGTCTCCATTCCGGTCAGACCCTGAAGAAATGTGGCCGCCGGCTCCCCAGAAGGCGGGAGGAAGGTTGCCACTTGCAAGACTCCTTGCATAAGTCCCCGCATCACCGCCCCCCGCCCCGATGCCCCCGTAATTCCCGAAATCCTGTAAGAGCTTGGCTCCTGCGTTATCGCAAATTCAGTTCCCAAGATTTTCCTTTCCGACGGTGCATGCCCATCTCATCTGTCTTTCTGGACTGTCCTAGTCACTCGCCTTCTCTTCCTCTCCTATAGGTCCCTTCCCTTGCCCTGGCCTCCGGCTCCGATTGTTGGGGCTATGGCAGGGTAGGGGGAGCTGAACCGGGGATCCAAAAGGAGTCTTTGCGGCTGCCCTGGGCGCCCTTGTGGCCTTTTTGTGAGCCTTGGCCACAGGGTTCGGCGCAAACTGGACCGGAGGGGCCGAACCCTTCCGCGGCCCCACCTCTGGCGTCCCGGGCACTCTCGGCTCACGGAATAGGAGTGGGGAGGGGGCGGGTGTTTCTCCGCAGAGAAGTGGGGAAGAATCTAGGACAGTTCGCACCACGTCGGTAGCCTGGAACCTAGGAGCGCGCGTTTGTCCCGGGCGCAGCACCCGCCGGGCAGAGTGGGGTCGTCTTGCAGTGGGGAGGAGAGGCGGGGCCCTGGGTAGTGGCGGGAGCCTCGGGCCGGTAACACTCATTTGGCGAGGGTGGTAGAGAAGCGCTGCGGTTGCGGGAGGAGGCTCCTGCCCTGGATCCACAATAGGCCCGAGTTGGGGGCGCAGCGCTGCCAGAAGAGTGTTCAGCAGGGGGCGCTGCTCCGGGCTTTGGGCGGGGGTGGGGTGGGAGAGGAGGGGGGCCGCGGCTCGCCGCGCACACTTCCCCCATTATTAAACACTATGTTCAAAAGGCGCCGGGGGACTTCCCGGAGCCACGGAACCCGCGCCGCCCTCCCGACCGGCCCACGGAGTCCATGGACCTGAGCGCCGCCGCCGCACTGTGCCTCTGGCTGCTGAGTGCCTGCCGCCCCCGCGAAGGGCTGGAAGCGGCGGCTGTGCTGCGAGTGGCGGGGGCAGGGCAGACCTGGAGCCCGGGGGGCGGCGGCGCGGACGGACGGACCCTCGCTCCGGCCACGGGCGCCTCGGCTGTCCAGGCCGCGGTGGTTCCGGGGGCCCGAGCGGCGCGGCGCGGCGCGGGCTCCAGCTTCAGGAACGGCTCAGTGGTGCCGCACCACTTCATGATGTCGCTTTACAGGAGTCTGGCCGGGAGGGCTCCCGCTGGGGCAGCCTCCACCTGGGGCCACGACCATGCGGACACAATCACCGGCTTCGTAGACCAGGCGACCCAAGGTACTTACGCCTCTTCTGCGTCAGCCCATCCCGTGCGATCCTGGGCTGAGATCAACCCCGGAGCCATACTCCTGCTCCATTCCATTTGGGGCTGAGGTCCCGCAAGTCCCAGCTTCAGGTGTTAGAGAAAAACTTCGCTGCTGTGGTCAACGCACCCAAACCCGCTGCGTCTGGACTGTGGCGCGAGTCGCTGCAGCTGGTCAGGCCGGCCCCAGAGGGCTGAGCGGGTCCTTCTACTGAGCTGCTCTGGCCTTGCCGGCTGGTAGGTCCCCTCGAAGAAAGCAGGCAGAGTCCAAGATCTGCTTCTTGGGGAAGGGTCTAGAGTGGCCTTGGCCAGGACACTTCGGAGAAGAAAGGGAAGGATTGGGACTTTGAGGCTACTGCCAAGAGGGACTGCGCAGCGATGACAGGGGTGGCTGCTTCCCTGGAGCAATCTGCAGCTCCCAATATCATTGGGGGTGCACAAATTCGAGGGTTCCATGGGCAGAGGCAGGTATCAAACTGGAGAGACTGGTGGCATATCCAGGTATGAGGAGGGTCTTTCAGCAGGCTGCATCTGGTGGTAGTGGTTCCAGTGTGGGAAGTGAGTATCTATAGGTGCCCGTGTTCTGTGCTGGGTCCTTGTGAGAGCCAGAGGTCCAGGACTCTGGTTGTGTTGGGAGGGAAGTCGTGCAGGAATGCAGGCCTCCCTGTCCAAGTGCCCCACCTTACCCTCTGCTGGGCCCTCCAAAGGTAAGTGGGTGAGATCGTGTGGTGGTTGCTGTTTGTCATCTGGATTTTATTAATCTCCATTGAAGTCATTAAAGTAGACAGATAGGGAAAATTTAACTAATTTCAGGCGGAAATGCAAGTAATTTTGGCTTTAATTCTGTCCAGTCAGAGACTTAGCAAGGAAGGCAGGAGGGAAAGGCAGGCAAATAGGACTGGATAAGGGCTGCTGTTCTGAGACTTGGGAGCCACTGACAGTCTGCACACATTAGGTACAGATTGCTTTATTTTGGGTACCTGGAAATCCTGGGACAGAATGACCCTATAGGACCATTTGAACTGAAAAGCATTGGCTGAGAGCCTGACATAGCCTCTGCACTGGGTACTAGGATTGTAGGATAGAAAACCCCAGTCCTGGGGTACCAGGCGAAGAAGGCAATCACTCCCTCCCTCCTGAGTGCCCAGGCTGCCGAAGAGGAGGCATTTTTAGGCCCTGAATGAGCAGAAGCACCAGACTTTCTGAAGTCAGGCTAGGTCTACTCTGAAGTAGAGGGAGACAAATCCTTTCCTGGGGAGCTCTGCTTGGCTAGCAAGACCTGAGACCACCTCTTCTCTGCTTCAGGGGGAAATGCAGTGGCAGGGCTGGAAAAGTAGGGTGAGGCCAAGGGCTGCAGAGGAAACTCAGATCAATTATTCCGAAAGCCCTAGGGAGGAAGCAGGGGCTGGAGCTCCTGCCAGTGCCTTTTCTGCCCCTCTTTTTGTCTCCTGAACCTTAACTTGGAGCAAACTGCTTGAGGTCCCCAGAGGCCAGGGACAACACACCAGAGTTTGGATTTAAGGCATCAGAGCCTGGTGGTGCCCATGTTGATGGGCAAATCCCCAATAGTGGAGGGAGTCTGCAGTCTCTCCTAGTTTGGGGCAAAATGAAACCATATGATCCCCTTCAAAGAGAGCTCCTTATCCACTGCTTGGTGGAATTTAACCCCCACCCGAACCCAAAAAGAAAAAAAGTGCCCACGACCAGAAATAAAATACCAAGCCTAAGTCACAACACAGATTAAACCTACCAAGGGTGCTCTTTGTGAAGATGGAACTCACGGGGGCCACTGCCCTAACTAAGCAAGGCTGTTCAGCTGCCCCCCAAATTTTGGAGAAGTTCCCTCTGCTTATTCCTTTGCTGCCTTTTGCCCTCCTTCAGAAGCTGCAGGAGCACTAGGAGGAACCAAGCCTAGGGTCCAGATGGTGATCAGCCGTGCGAGACCCTGGGAGAGCCTTTCTCTGGGCTTCGGTTAGTTCCCCTTCGACCCAGTGAGGAATTTGGACTAGAGGGTCTCTACCGCGGAGCTGCGTGTTCCCCTTGTTGGACCACTCGCAGAGCCTAGCCTGCGTGGGAGACCGTGGTCGGCCGAGGTGTCCAGGCAGGGTTAGGGGAGAGAAGTAGCAGAAGAGGAAAGTGTTTTCAGGGGACATGGAACTTTCTGTTTTCGCAGAGCCGGGATTTGCGGCTGTCCTGCGAGCTCAGCAGGGCTGTAAGGAGCAATTACCACACAGCGCAGGACCTCAGTAAGGAAAGCATGACTTCTAAGGAGCCCACCTTGCCTCCCGTTCCCTACTGCCCAGAAGTCTGGCCTCCAACCCTATTACTGCAAATCTATGACTTCAAGGCATGCCGCGTAGCTGCTGTGGCCTTAAATCTTGGTTCCGGGTGCGGTGGCACGCTTCTGCCCACAAGGCTCAGTGATTATAAGGGTGTCCGTGGTTGTCCCAGCGGCCCTATGAACCAAAGCCTCAGGACCAAGGCTCGAAGCTCTGGGCCAGGCTGGCCGCATTCCCGCTGGGGCCCCAGTGCGGGGGCGGGCTCCGACTCCAAAGGGCCTTAATCCTGCTTCAAGGGCGGCGGCGCCAGGTGCAGTTTGGAGCCCCTGGGGCGGGGAGTAGGCTTCCTTCTCAATTCCGCTCTGTTTCTGTCGGTACCCCTGCAGACGATTCGGCAGCCGAGACTGGTCAGAGCTTCCTGTTCGATGTGTCCAGCCTTCCAGATGCCGACGAGGTGGTGCGAGCCGAGCTCCGCGTGCTGCGCCGGGAATCTTCAGAGCCAGGCCTTGGCAGCGGGACTTTGCCGCCGCTGCTGCTTTTATCCACGTGTCCGGGAGCATCCCGCTCACCACGCCAGCTGCACTCCCGTGCAGCTGAGCCCCTGGACGGCCGGCGGTGGGAGGTGTTCGACGTGGCTGACGCCGTGCGGCACCACCGCCAGGAGCCCCGAGCCACCCGCGCGCTCTGCCTCTTGCTCCACGCAGTGGTCGGTCCCGCCCGGAGTCCAATGGCACTGCGGCTGCTGGGCTTCGGCTGGCGGGGCGGAGGCGGCGCTGCGGCTGAGGAGCGCGCGCTGCTAGTCGTCTCCTCCCGCACGCACAGGAAGGAGAGCCTGTTCCGAGAGATACGCGCCCAGGCCAGCGCACTCGGGGCCGCTCTGGTCGCAGAGTCGCCGCCCGACCCGGGACCCGGCAATGGGCCATCGAGGATAGTCATGGGCGGCCGCAGGCGGCGGCGGACAGCGCTGGCTGGGGCGCGGGCCGCACAGGGCAGCGGCGGGGGCCTGGGCAGGGGCCACGGGCGAAGGGGCCGGAGCCGTTGTAGCCGCAAACCGCTCCACGTGGATTTCAAGGAGCTAGGCTGGGATGACTGGATCATCGCGCCGCTGGACTACGAGGCTTACCATTGCGAGGGCGTTTGCGACTTCCCGCTGCGCTCGCACCTCGAGCCCACCAACCACGCCATCATTCAGACGCTGCTCAACTCCATGGCGCCAGACGCGGCGCCGGCTTCCTGCTGCGTGCCCGCACGCCTCAGCCCCATCAGCATCCTTTACATCGACGCCGCCAACAACGTGGTCTACAAGCAGTACGAGGACATGGTGGTGGAGGCCTGCGGCTGCAGGTAGCATGCGGCCCGGGGAAGGGGCAGCCGCGCCGCCAAGGACTTCTGCTGAAGGGCAGCTTCGGGCCGGGTCTGTCACCGAGCCTGGGTGCGCGCCGGACTGTGGCGCCGCGTCTACCTGAAGGAGCGCACAAGTTCACACTCACACCCACACACTCCTTCACTCACGAACACATCTGCAGTGCACAGCAGCATCCGAAAGCCTTGGGGAGAGGGAGACTGCCGCTACTGAATGTCACAGCCATGTGTAGTTTGTAAGCAGATCGCTGTAGCGCCCGTTGTCCCCTTTTGGGAGAGGAGGGAGTTTGTGTTTGTTTCGGTAATCCCCACTAAAACCCGAGTAGAAACGGGTTAAGACTGGGGATTCCAGAATGGACGGCCTGAAGGGGCACTCGAGTGTATTTGTCTTCTTTTTGTTTCTGGCCCGCTGGGTGGCTGTGTACCTGGTGTTGCACCCTGGGGCCCCCTGAAGGGTTGCGATGCCCTTTCTAGAGGTTTGTGTTGCTTGAGGCCATTTACTCTCAGAAAGAACCGCTGCAAAAGGTATCCTCTCCCTTTAACTTTTAAAACTTAATGTGGCGGTGCCTCAGTTTTGAAAGGGCAGTTTTGTCTGAAAGAATGTGTGGTGGGAGCGGCCCAGATCCCTGCAAAGGTCAGCACCGCCCTTTTTTATCAATTCCAATTGAGAGTGATTTAGAAAGTGGAAAGACTTTTTCTCTTTGGGGGAAAATGAAACAGGGGAGAGGTTCTAAACTGCGAAGTCGAAGCCCATGTGACATTGGGAGGGGTGAGGTGGGATGTGTCAGGTTTGGAGACTCTGCACCTACTCAGAAGGAGGCAGTAGCAGTGTCTTAGGGCCATTGAGAAAGGGGGGACAGCTGCTGCTCTTCCAAGAGACGTTCCAGGAGGGTTTCCTAAGAAGTTGGGGAAGATGTTGTCAGGGCTTGAGTTTCCTGGGGCCTGCTCCAGCGGAGGACGATGGTTTGTCTGCCAAGTAGGCGCAGCTCCCTTCAAATAGCATAACCAGAGTGGGCCAGGGTGTCCTGGCGCTTAGTGATCCAGCCTGCGTGGACTTACACATGCTTTCCCGGTGTTGCTGAAGTTTTTGGCAGGGTGATAGTAACGGGAAGTGAAGCCACACAAAAGTGCTTTTGTCATATTTAAACTCACAGCCCAGACCTTCAGAGCAGGAGGAAGGTCGCCTCCTCTGCTCCTTGCTTGGTTCCCCTGTGGTTCCTTCTGGAAGGCAGGGCCTTGGTGTGGGCGGAGCAGAGGCGCGAGATTGTCTCCTGGTTCCCGAATTTTGCCTAGAAGAGTTATTGATGGTAGGATGTTTGTTATGTAAAAGTGAGTTCCAACATGCCAGCCTTCATTGTGTCTGTAATTTGTTCATGCCCAGAAGTTCTTTGTGCCTTTTTGTCAATGGTCAGGAGAGAAAGAAGCTGGCTTCCACTTGCCAGGGGCTCCCAGGGCTGCTTTGGAACACCCTGGAGCCCTCCTGGTACTGTTGTTTAAGGTTGTGCTGGCTTTCCTTTTTAGGGGCCTTGGTTAGGCGTTAATTCTGCTCTTGTCTTGGATGCTTTTGTCCAGGAAAGTTTATATACATTTTAATTCTTAGTGGTTCTACTTTACACTCTTGATGAAGAGGAAAGACTAACAAATGAGATATCACTGATTTAGTTAAAGGTCCCACCTGCATCCTTTTTATTCTGTAAAATTCCCCCAAAGGGGGAAAACCCACATATAACTTATTCTTAAAATTAAGATTGTTCCCCTCTTGCAATGTGAATTTACATGCTGCAACAGTGTGCATAGCCATAAATAACCAGAAAATACAAAGTTTCTTCAGATTAAAAAAAAAGAAACACGTCAGAAGTAGCCACTGTGGTACAATTGCATTTTATCTTTTTGACTAGCAAATATGGTGCCCAGATTTATGGATTTTTTCCAGGGAAACTTTCCTCTTTTGTTTTAAATGATAATTTTAATAGTGATTGCTCTGATACCTTTCATTATGAAGATTAAAAAATTGCACAAAAGTTTTACAGGTTATAGTATTAGAAGATTTAGAAAGGAAGGTAATAAAAAATCACATTTCAATATTATTTTGAGGAAATTTTAGGGTGTTTAATATCTTTGGACAAAAGAAAACATTTTGATACTTTTTTTAGTGACTAGGAAAAAAAATCTTTGGGGTAAGAAATGTCTTAATGTAACCTGTGCTTTTTATGGTAGGGAAAAAGGTGTCCATCTCCCCTGTTTTCTTGCTCCTGATCTCCTTCTAACAGCATGTGTCTGGGGTGATGTAGGAAGTCAGTGTCTCCTTGGGTCTTTCCAGATTGCACCATAGGGAGAGGTGTTGTCCTTAGACAGCACAGTTCTTTCCATGGCCTCTGAGGCCCCAGGGTGCTCCTTGGTTTACTGAATAGAGGGAATGTCTGCTGGGTCTCCCCTTCCTCTGTGGAACTACCATGGTTCAGGGTGCCCACCAGTCTTCAGCTCTGCCCAGCCTTCTGTCTCCTCAGAGTCCATTCTCTAGAGGTTGTGTTTCCCTGTGTACAAATGACAGTACAAGGGCCACCATATGTGGGGTGGCCAGTTTTCTGCTGCAAAGATGTGGTTAAATTAGCTTTGCCAAGATGTGGAGAAAAGCATTCTGTTAGTGCATTTGGGAACACCTTGTGCCATCTGTCCTGTAGGTGGTGGGGAATAGGCTGGGTGACCAGCATAAAACCCAGTTGCTCTGCTTGAGTCCCCAGCTGGAATCTCCAGACACCACTGTGGGGAACTGGGATCAAGTGTGTCAGAACCATGAATGAAAGTGCTCCCCTCCATCTGAAGTCACCAAAGTGTCCTTACTAAAGTAAACAGAATTTTCCACTTTGTTGGGGAAAATTGTGCACTGCTAGTTGAGATCATTTGCGCAACTATTTCTTGTGGATGAACAGGGTCTGACATCCTTGCTCAGGGAGCCAGGGGTGCTGCTGCTGGGTCTGCCAAACACCAAGACAAGCCTGGTTTTTAAAACCAGAATTTTTGTATTAAGGGAGACCCCTATACTGGCAGGTGAACACTTCCACCTCTGGTTTTATGGAATTCAGGCTTTCCAAGGGAGCTGGACTGGGTCTTGTGGAGGTGGCGGGCTTTGTGGTCTTAGCCTGGGGAAGCCAGGATAGAGCTGTGCTCATTTGTTACACAGGATAATTTCCTGGCATTTGAGTGCTTCAGAGGAAGAGAAAGAGAAGAGGTATAGATTGCATGAGGGTAAAAACCCCTGGAAGGCTTGTGAGGAGATTCTCCCCTGACAGAGCACATGGTGTACACAAGGGCAGAAGCTTGGCCTTGTGTCCTGAGGAGGGTTCTGTAACCCTGTGAAAGGAGCAGGGAGCAATCCAAGTCCTACAAGTTCTTATCCTGTCAGCGGTCTCACTCTACTCATAGCAGAAAATAACTGGGACCAATTTTCTTCTTAAAGCAGAGCAAAACTTGGAGCAAAACTGAACTCTTTCCAAGAGCAGCTTGTGCACAGAGCTCTCCCCTTGCTTGAGTCTGGTCTCCTGAAAACCTGAGTGTGAGAAAGAAAAAGCTTTGCAGCTGTCCCAGGGCTTTGCTGGTTCTCCTGAGAACCCACCCCCTCAGGATACAGACCTCCCCCAATGGCTTAGGGCCAGATGGCCTAGGCAGGTGGACTGAGGGAACCAGGCTTTGAAAGCAGCAGTCTGTCCAGGGAGTGGTGGACCTGCTTTTGCCCCTCAGGAAGTGTCTGGATTGGGAAGGGAAGAGAGGACGTGGAGCAGTGAATCCAGTAGTTATAGAACTTTGGGAGTGAGTAGGAAGTCACCAGACCCCTGTGGGGGCCGGCATGTCCAAGTGGTGCTAGAGTCAGGGCCCACTGTGGGCTTCTGCACCCCAGAACTCAACTATCTCCCCAGTGTGGCCTGTGTCTGCCTGATAGGAAGACACTCCAACACTAGGGATCTATAGGGTATCTCCTGAGAGGCCTGAGGCAAGTCATGGGCAGTCACCTTCTGCTTGAGCTTCAACTTCTGCCCCTTAAAATGAGGACCTCTGGGCTGGAGATGTGGCCCAGTGGTAGAGTGCTTGCTTAGCACGTGTCAGAACCTGGGAGGGTGGAGGAAGGACCTCTCCAGCCCAGAGAGCCTAGATTGTACTGTCCCAAAATCCTATTCAGATGATTCCAAGGTATAGCAAATGCTAATACTCCTGGAAAAGGTTTCCTCCTGACCCCAATCATAGAGCCACATCTCACAAGTTTCACAGCTCTTCCTTGTGCCTGTGAGTGTATGCCCTCTTTCCCGACTCCTAGCCTCTGTGGGTACTTCACAGATGTTGCTTCAATTTCTACCTGGGGCAAAGCAGGTGCAGGGGAGGCCAGGACCTTAGGGTAGGGCCCAGCTTCCCCCAGTCTGATAGCTTTCTTGTGCCCCCTGGTTGAGGGGCACTGCTAACCCACTTGAATAGCACCTGTGCCACATAAGGTGGGTTGGATCACAGACAGAGAACTGGAAAAATGCTCCAACTAGCTATAGGTGCCTCTGTTGGGGGAGTAGAGGGAAGGGTTGGGAAGCGGGTAGAGGATGTGGACCAGTGAAACCAGTAGTGAAAAAACTTCAGGAGTGAGTGGAAAGTCACCATATCTATGTGTGGACTGGAATGTCCAAGTGCCAGAGTCAGTGACCATGGTGGGTGTGACAGCCCAGACAGATGCCTGGGACTGTCCTAGAGTCCCTGGGCAAGGCAATAGTCTTGTCTTGGGGTGGGCTGTTCCCTACCTGGCCCTACCCCATCTTCACACACCTCACTGTCATGCTGTGTCTGCCTCTGAGGTCCCTCTTCATCTTTCTAGGGGAGTGACTCTGGGGGCAGGTGGCAGAAGACCTTTTCATGACCTGGAAGGTGGTGGTGGAGTTGAACTTGAGGAGCACTAGGAGGAAGGGAGGTGTCAGAAAGATTGTTTTTTTTTTTTTTTGGTCTTTCCACAAT